GAATTTGGATATACAACTTTCCGCTCCCTCATCTAAGACATTAATAAATATGGTGAACAGTTGAGGCCCATCATTGATTTTGAGAGAAACCATTCGTTACATTTCTGCCCATTGACCCCAGCCTCTGGTCAATAATCTGCCTTTGTTAGCTGATGTTAAAGTGAAGTCAGTGTGCTGTGTGACACGTCACATTTCTTCTGGAAGTCCCTGTAAATAACATGCAAGATTGTAAGGGGCTGTTCTGGTGCAGTGGTAGTGTCATTACCTCTGGGCACAGAGGCCCAGAATGAGGTCTCACTTGCTCCAGAGATGTGACACAATATGGTTGGATGGACTGAATTAAATAAAAAGTCAAAATAATAAAACATGCAATTTGCTACTCTTAAATAAACCATAGTTTTCATCTGGGCAGTTAATTGATCTCAGCAGGAGGGGTAGTAGGAGCATTGCAATGAGTCATAGCAGCTAGGAATCATTTGTATTGATGCACGCTGACAGTTATCAGGAAATAATCTCAGTTGTAAAAGAATAACCAACGAGATGTAGTTTAGGAGGCTATCAGCATCTACACCCTAGAAGCGTCATTTCCAAGTATGACTTGGAAAGTGGATTGAAAAAAAAGCCTGAGTTTAAATAAATTTAAGGCTAATAAATTGGAATAGCTTACCTTTCTGTAGCAGTTTTCAAATACAGGTGGTACTACCAAGCTGATAAATTATCTTGAGAAGTAAAAACCGAAAGAACTGCGAATGCTGTAAGTCAGGAACAAAAACAGAAGTTGCTGGAAAAGCTGAGCAGGTCTGGCAGGTCTGTGAAGAAAAGGGTCATTGAACCCCAAACTTTAACTCTGATTTTTTTTTTCTTCACCGCTGCTGCTGAGCTTTTCCAGCAACTTTGTTTTTGTATCTTGAGAAGTAGACTTGTTATGCAGCTAATTCCTATTTAGCAAAGTCTCAAAACAACGGAGAGTTAAATGAATTGGAGAATTAAATGAAACGGAGAGGAATTTTCCAGATTGATGATCCTGAATTGACTTTGTGTATTTGATCTTTTTGTCCTTTTCAAGCGATTGATTACATGACACTTTGAGGTAAAGGGATCTCCTAACCTGGTGAATGGGACAGGCTGGACGGGAAAAGTTTGTTTGGTGCTGTCCAATGTTTTTGCAGCTTTGCACGTTCATAGGGTTTTTTTTTGGTTGAGGGGTGAATCATGTTCAGGGCATGGAGAGAGACCTCAACACTTGTTTGAAGTGCCATGAGATTTTTATTGTCCACCTGAGAGTGCAGACAGACTTTTGATTAATCTGAAAAATGACGATTGTGACAGTGCAGCACACTCAGTACGGAATAATTACCAAAAGTATTTGGAGCGGGACGTGAAACCAAGCCTTTCTGACTCGGAGCCATGGTTATACTCAATGATGCAAAATTGTACAAATGGGGTGACAAAGGAGAGACCTTCGATCTCACTATCTTCTTTGACTTCTCAACAGGTAAAAACTGCCAGCATGTGGATTCCTGTGCCTCTCAGCCATGTGCTAATGGGGGTAAATGCAGCAGTTCAAGAGACAATTACACTTGTAGCTGCCTCCCAGGCTACACTGGATCCCACTGCCAGACTGACATTGATGAATGCTCCACTGAGGTTCCGTGCCAGAACAGTGGGACATGCCTAACTATACCAGGATCGTACCGCTGCCTGTGCAAACCAGGGTTCACTGGGACCAATTGTGAGAGTGTTTATGTCCCCTGCTCGTCATCGCCATGCATGAATGGGGGCACCTGCCGACCAATCAACGATGACCTAACCTACGAATGCAACTGCCTGCCAGGTAAGAGCTGGGAACTGGAGAAGGATGCTCAGCATCTCGACATTCATTTCAGTCAAGTTGGTGATGCACCCCAAATGTACCTGTACCTCAAAATCTCTCCATATCCCACATAGTGCACTGGGAATGTTAACTCTATTTTTCTGTCTCCACAGATGCTGTCAGACTTGCTGAGTTTCTCAAGCACCTTTGATTTTATTTCAGATTTCCAGCACGTGCAGTATTTTGGAGTATTTTGCTATCTATTTCTGTCTTGGAAGTTCCAGTAGCCCCGGCATCCACAGAGATTGCACTGCTCTTTATTTGAATCCGTGTTTTCCGACTTGCATCCCAAGGGATTTGGCTTTGATTTTAAGGTTGTGTCTCCAGCTTCTTGATTTCCCTCACTAGTGGAAATAGTTCCTCTCTGTCTACAGAATCAAATCCGTGAAAGGTTTCCAGCATTCCTCAATCAGATCAACCTCAATCTTCTGCACTTAAAATTTAATTAAGTAATAAAGTGTGCTAATGCTCAGAACCTGGTGAGGTGCCAAGCACCAGAGTGATGGCAGTCAAATAGTGATTGATGATGGCACATTTGTGTTGTAAAATTTTGCAGAGGAGTAGGACAGGGAAAAAAAAAAATCAACATAGGAATTGCCAGACAGAAAGTGAGTAAAGTGCATCTGGCTCACAATCTGCAAAAATGATACAGCAACGATTGAGTTGTTGCCTACTCATTGCTTAGAACCCACTGCTGCCAGGAGGAAAGCTCTTATCAGGAACAAGTCATTCGGATCTGGAATCCATCTGAAATTGTGTTGGAGGGAGATTCAATCATGGCTTTTAAAAATGAATTGGATGATTATCTGAAGAGGAAAAACTTTGCAGAGCTACAGTGAAAAGACAAGTTAGTGGGACTGGCTGAATTGCTAATGTAGAGAGCTGGTATGGACAGAATGGGCTGAATAGCCACCTTCGTGTAGGTAATCATTGTATAGTTCTGTGATTATCAGCAACGTTACTGTTGTTGAGTCAGAATGAGTTTGAGAGGACACAGCTCAATTTAACATGGGTCTGCTACTGCAAGATTTTCAAAATTTCAGTTGTGCTCCCGCAGAGGATTGCTGAGCAGGGTCCTATATATCTGCAGAGAAGGGGACATCAGACCAAGTCTTCTCTGAGGTTAAGGCAGTGTGCATTCTTGCAGATAGTTCTTTGGTAGTAGAAATAAGGCCCATTGTACCACATGCGTCACAGGAAAAGCCAATACAAGGAATTGAAATGGGGAATGATTCTTCCTCTATCCAAAGTGAGTTTCAGTCTTTGCTCTCTTTGAACACCAATGCAGAGTTCTCTGTATAAATTGCACACTCACACTGGGAAGCAGTGACTGCTGGTTTGTATTGTGTTAGATATAGTCCATGTGGCAATGATGTGGTATTGCTGTAAACCACTGTGTCTTTAGAGAGGGATTATTGAGCCAGGCTTCCTCTATATGATTGCCATCTTCTGACAGCACCTTATCCCTATCCACTCCACTCGCTAAGTTTGTGAATAGCTTAGGTTCGGGGAGTTAACTGTGACTTAACCCACAATATCCCTTGGTAAAACAGTACAGGCCATTTCTGAAAAAGTGCCAGGAGTACTGTATACAATTTTCCTTAATTGAGGGATATGCTTGCATTGGAAGCAGTTCAGAGAAGGCTCACTTGGCTGATTTTTGGGATGAAGTGGTTGCTTGTGAGGAGAGGTTGACCAGATTAGATCCTTGAAGTTTAGAACAATGAGAGGTGATCTTACTGAAATATGCCAGATTGTGAGGGGACTTGGAAGATAGATGATGGGATGTTTCTCTTCACTGGTGGATGTAGAAACAAGACAGAGTTTAAAAATAAGGGATTTCCCATTTAAGACAGGGCTGAGGAGGAATTTCTTCTCCAGATGTTGTTAGTCTGTGAAATTGTCTTGCCCAGAGAGCAGTTGAGGCAGGGTATTGAATGTATTCAAGGCTGTGTTAGACAGATTTTTGATTAACAAAGAGTTGAGGAGGCAAAAAAATGGAATTGAGCCTACAACCAGATCAGCTATGATCTTGTGGGGCAGCATGCTTCAGGGCTAATTCGTCTTTTGTTCTTTAGGTCTTAAGGCTATGCAGTTTGGTAACCACCCAGCATGTACACAGATTACCAGAAACCTGTTCCACGCAAGCACTTGTACTCCAGTTTGATTCAGCACCATGGTAAAGAGGTTAGGAAACATGGTGAGGAAGAAAGGAGAAGAAAATCATCTTTTGTCTACTACAAATTCTGTTCACATGATTAGGGCTGGTCACACAGTGCCAACAGACTGTAGCTATTAGTGACCTCGACCGGTTTAATCTTGCCCTCGTTCCCTAAGTGAATAGTTGACTGAGGGCATGTCCTAGAATCACTGACTATGATCAGAGTCACTAATTGACTGTCAGAAGTATATGAGCTTAAATGCCCTGCTTTAACACGCTGATAATTGCAGCTGTAAAACTTAGGGTGTCCTAATGAGTCGTGTTGTTTTGGTCATTGCCAACCACCTTGTCCAGATTCTGAGTTTCTGTTTAGATAAAGTTGTAACGTGTTGCTCTCAGTTATGGAAGGGAGATCAATGAATAGTTGTCTTGCCCACTCTCCCTGAATCACCAGCAATTAATTAAGGCAATGGCCTTATTGCCCCCTCTATTTGAAAGGTTTTTGTATTTGAAGGCAGCATATTCCGTTCTTGTTTGCCACTTGCTTTTGTAATTTCTCCTCTATCACTTTGAACTTGTGGCTGAACGCTCCTGCTGATGTATCAAATTTTTTTTTATAATCTGATTGAGGATCTTGGCCAGGAAATGTGTTTTGCCAATGAGGAAACATTTAAACTGAAATTGCAGGTGAATTACTTAAACAATTAGCTGCAATAGCGGGTCCCTCTTGACATTATTAACTCTGCTCCAAGGTCAATTAGGAGCTATCGCACTAACTGGGCAAGGCAGTTGCCTGTGGGGAAAGGGTTTGCAGGAAACCAAGCTTCACAATGTTACAGGATGTGTAGTGCTAGGAAAACAAGCTTCTTGGAAACAGTACAAGAGGATATTGATGGAAGTACTTAGCATACATGAGTGTACATTGGAGCTGCAGGACTTGATCTGCTCGTCCGAATGCAGCTCATTAGTACACCACGTTTTGATTTAAGTGGCACTACGCAGTGATCTGGTTTTCAAATTGGGCCTGGCATTTAATCCTGTGCTCAAGATGGGTTTGACTTTGGAATTGAGCAAGCAGAAATCATATGGTTGGCTAATGGAATTGGCCTACACTTTGTCTCTGAGGGTTTTCTTGGCTGCTCCATTCTGGGGCGTCAGTAAAACTGCAGTACAAAATGACATTTCCAATACAAACAAGGTCACCATGGCTCTGGTGTTTGGTTTTGAGTTTCTTTGTTGACATATGCCAAAGCACTTGACAAGGCTATTTGGGTGCAATGATGGCTACATCTTGAGCTTTGACTAGTCAACACGTGCAAGTTAAAATGTGTTTCGCCTGATTGAGTTTTGGGAAAGCCAGTTCTTGGAATCAGAACGTCATGTTGAAATAGAGAGAGAATGAAGCTTTGTTTTTGAGAGTGTGACTCGTTGATTTGCTGCTGGAACATCTGTGTTAGTTACAGAACATGACTGTTTTACGTTGCAAGATAATCCATGAATCAAATTCTCTCTTGTGTTTGGCAGGGTTCAGTGGGAAGGACTGTGAGATTAACATTGATGATTGCCCTGAGCACAAATGTCAGAATGGTGGTACCTGCGTGGATGGAGTGAACACATACAATTGTCGATGTACACCTGAATGGACAGGTACGTGAAGAGTTTGTGATGAATTGCTTTGAACTGTACATTTGAAGAAAGCTTGGCTCAGATTGAACCAAATGATATTTTAACAGAACTTTATCAGCATAGGTTTACCTCCACCAGGGGTGTGGTTGGAAAGTGAATGGAAAGCTTGAATGTGATACATTCCTTTACATACCTTCAGCAAACAAATTACTTCTGAAGTGTGGTCCCTTATTTTACATTGACAAATATTGTTGCCAAAAAGGTGAGCAGCAAGGTTGGTTCCATAAACAACAATGAGCTGTTTGTCTGGTTCAGTCTGTTTCTGGCTCAGTCCTTTTATTTTGAGGGAGGAATATTGCACCGTATAGTGAAAGAATAAAAAATTCAGCCAAGGCTCTTGTTCCGGTGCTGACTATTAAAAATGCAGGTGAAAACCTTGGATGGACTTGGCCAGATTCAAGGGCCCCCATCACTCATCTCCTGGGTACTCCAAGGAAGAATATGCATTATAGGAGACATAATGGAGTGCTAGAGTATTGTGGACCCTTACTACTTCTACAGACAATGATTCCACAAGTGTTGGGCAGAAAAGTGGAATTGCAGAAAGTAGAATAGTAGAAAGCTTGGGCCGTGAGAAGCTTCCTGAAGTTACAGACATCTCCTTCAGAAGCTGAGAGCTTTGACCAATGTTATGTTTTCCACTCTCCTCCCTGCTTATGTAGTTATCCCAGTTTAGAGACCAATTGGTGAAAATGCTGCTTGTTAAAATAAATTGTTGCTGGGTCGATTCAAAGCTTATTGCAGAATAAACGTTTGTGGTTTGGGGGCAGATAGAAGACTGGCTTGTTAACCAGAAACAGAGAGTAGGAATAAGTAGATAATTTTCAGGCTGACAGGATGTCACGAATGTGCCACAAGGTTCGGTGCTGGAGCCTCAACTCTTTACAATTTATATAAATTGGTTAGATGCAGGGATCAAAGGTATGGTAGCTAAATTTGTTGATAACACAAAGTCAGAAATCTCACAACACCAGGTTACAGTCCAACAGATATATTTAAAAACACAAGCTTTTGGAGCCTTGAGGCTTCGAAAGCTTGTGATTTCAAACAAACCTGTTGGACTATAACCTGGTTTTGTGTGATTTCTGACCTTGTCCACCCCAGTCCAACACTGGCACCTCTACATCATTGATAGGTAGGAAAGTGTGTTGTAAAGAGGTCATGAGCCTACAAAGGAATAGAGATAGGTTAAGTGAATGGGCAGAGTGGCAATGGAGTACAATGTGGGAAAGTGTGAAATTGTGTATTTTGGCAGAAAAGAAAAGAAAGAAACATATTATCTAGATTGTGAGGGGCTGCAGTGCTCTGGGTTGCAAAGAGATCTGGTGTTCAAGTGCATGAATTGCAGAAGGTCAGTATACAGGTACAGCAAGCAATCAGAAAAGCTCACAGAATGTTATGGTTTATTGCAAGGGCAACTGAACACAGGTAGAGAGGTTATGCTTCAGTTATACAAGACATTGGTAAGACCACATCTGTAGTACTGTGTATCATACTGGGGCACAACTTACGGAAGAGTGTACTGCGTTGGAAGCAGTTCAGAGAAGTTATTACTGGACTAATGTCTTGACTGAGTGATTGCCTTTATGCGGAAAGGCTAGACCTATATCCTCTGGAGTTGAGAAGAGTTGGAGGTGACTTAATTGAAGCATTTAAGATCCTGAGGGAACTTGACTGTTGAATGTTGGGAGAAGCTAGAACTAGGGATCATAGTTCTAAAAAAAGGGGTGCCTAATTAAAACACAGATGAAGAAACTTTTTCTCTCACAGAATTATGAGTCTGTGGAATTCCCGTTCCTCAAAAAAGCAGTGAATGTGAAATCTAAGGATTTTTAAAGCAGAGGTGAAATTCTTGATTACCAAGGGGATGAAGGATTCTCAGGAAGCTGCAGGAATGTAGATTTGAAGCAGCCATGACAGAGCAGGCTTGACGGGCTGAGTGGCCAACTCTTGTTCCTTGTTCATATATTCACAACGGGGCGGCATGGTGGCTCAGTAGTTAGCACTGCTGCCTCACAACGCCAGGGACCCGGGTTCAATTCCACCCTTGGGCGTTTGCGCATTCTCCCTGTGTCTGTGCAGGCTTCCTTCAGGGGCTCCGGTTTCCTCCCACAGACCAAAGATGTGCAGGCTAGGTGGATTGGCCATGCTGAATTGCTTGTAGTGTTCCAGGATTTGTAGATTATGTGGGTTGTAGGGGGATGGGTTTGGGTGGGTGCCCTGAGGGTCAGTGTGGACTTGTTGGGCCGAAGGACCTGTTTCCACACTGTAGGGATTCTATGATCTATGAACATATGAATCCTGAAACAAAACTTGTTTTAGGCCATAACCTGAATTGTTTTCTAACATGTCACAACCTGGTTCTTAAATTCTTTCTTGTTTCCTTTCCACCTCCATTCCCCCAAACAATTGCATGAAATACATGTGCTGAGTAAGTTAGGTAAGGAAGAAGGGAGATGCAGGATAAATTGCTGTACAGACTGGAAAGGGTGTGGGTGAACTTAGAGGGAAAAGAAATGTTTAAAATTAGGTAGGCGAACAGGATATTGGAGTTAATTGAAAGCAGAGCGGAGGAAGGCTTTGTGAACAAAGGAGTTTTTGGTTCAGACCCTTTGGCAGTGACTCTGGCTTTTCAGCTGGAATACATTCTGGGTAAGTGAGCAAGACATGAAATTGTGGAATTGATTTGGTCTAGTTCCAGCTATTTGACTTCGGAGATTGATGAGACTCGAGTTCAAGGTTGGGTTGGGGGCTGGGAGACTATCTGCAGTTTTGCACCGATGTTGTGGTCAGCAAGTTAAGGTTTTTATATCCAAAGGGAAAATACATACAATTTACCTACCTTTTAACAACTGAAATCATTTCAGAACCCAGTTTGGAGATGGTGTTGGAGCAGGGCTCTCACATACGACTCTGTCTCTGCCTGGTGTTCCACTCGATAAACTTTCTATCATGGTGTAAATGTAGGACGACAAAGAATTTTATTGTGTTTGTAGCATAGAAATGTGCTATTAAGCATGACAACTCTATGTTGTCATTTATCTTACCCATGAGAATCCACCCAGCCCATTTCATCTGACTGTGTCAGCGTGTTCTTCTTTTCCTTTCTTCCTTGAGTGCAACTGAGATAATCATTGTCACCTATTCCATTGCTATCTAGTTTTAAATCTCACCCCTTTGTGTAAAGAAGTTTGCCCCGAGTTGTTTTAAATCAGGCCTGTTGCAGTTAGGTTAGAGGTGAGTCACATTGGAGTTAATGATATTGGCTGCAATCCTGTGACAATGGGTTTTAGTGAAGAATGGTTAAAATAACCTGCCTGTATTTGCTGCTTTAGAGAATAATCCTTCCTCATTTGGATCAGTGCCTCTTGATCTGTAGCACCATTGTAAGACATGAGGGTCTGCAGTGATGCTGGGTGCTGGTGACAGTGTGTTTGGTCACAAGTAACCATCCTGATTCAGTTAAACATTAGTTATTAGTCCAGATTACTTTAATTTTGGTGGTGGGGAGGTGCAGGAAAAGATGTGATTGGAGGATATTAGACATTTAGAGATGCACTTTCATATCTTTGGGACCAGCTTTTCAGCCTGGTATCTTCCGCAGTTGATATGTGCAAAGGCACCAACGTTGTCTCAGTGTATTTTGTGTTTCTTATTCACTCGTGGGACACAGGCATCTCTATCTGGCCAGCATTTATTGTCCATACCTAGGTGGCTTTGAGAAGATCGAGGTGAGCTGCCTTCTTGAACCACTGCAGTCCACATGCTGTAGATAAAACCACAATGCAATTGTGGTAGAAATTCCAGGATTTTGACGCAGTAACTGTGAAGGAATGGCGATATGTTTCCAAGTCAGGATGGTGAGTGTCTTGTATGGGAATTTGCATGTAGTGGTGTTCCCATGTACCTGTTGCCCTTGTCCTTCTACATGGAAGTGGTCGTGGGTTTGGAAGGTGCTGTCTGAGGATCTTTGGTGAATTTCTGCAGTGCATCTTGTAGACAGTACACACTGCTGCTACCGAGCATCTGCGGTGGAGGGAGTGGATGTGAATGTGGTGCCAATCAAGTGGGCTGTTTTTTCCTTGACTGTGTCAAGCTTCTTGAAATTATTGTGGGAGCTGCACTCATCCAGGCAAGTGGGGAGTATTCTACAACACTCCTAATTTGTACCTACAGACAAGGAATAGGCTTTGGGGAGTCAGGAGGTGAGATACTTAGCGCAGGATTCGTAGCCTCTGACCTGCTCTTGGAGTCACTGTGTTTATATGACAAGTCCAGTTGAGTTTCTGGTCAATGCTAACCCCCAGGATGATAACAGCTGGGGATTCAGTGATGGATATGTCAAGGGGCAGTGGTTAGAGTGCCCCTTATTGGAGATGGTCATTGCCTGGCATTTCTGTGGTGCGAATGTTACTTTGATACTTCTGTTGCTGTGTGGGCTGATAGGGCAATGCTATTACCTAGTCAATACTTGAACATTACATCAGCTGTCCAGCACATACTTTGACTTAGGTTCCATAGTGCCAAAAATCTACTGTAGTAGTAATGGTAGAAAATGCCGTCTCATTGGCAGTGAGGAACAGAGTTAATGTTTCAGGTCTAAGACCATTCATTACGACCAGTTCTCTTCACAAATGCCAGATGTACTGAGTATTTCCAGCACTTCTGTTTTGTTTTACATTTCCAGCACCTGCAGTATCTTGCTTTTGTATCTGGTGCAGAAGGGCGAATTCACTTTGACATTGTATTGCATTAAACTCAACCATTTGCACAGATTGTAACACCTGTTAATTGCCCACAGTAAATGCTGAGTTGGGCCAAAATTTCTGCTTGATTATGTGACGTATAAAGTACTCAATGCCTGTCTATGAACTCTTCATCCCTTTTCCCCCATCTAGGTCAGTTTTGTACAGAAGATGTGGATGAGTGTCAACTGCAGCCAAATGCGTGTCAGAATGGAGGAACCTGTTCCAACAACATCGGAGGTTATAACTGCGTCTGTGTCAATGGTTGGAGTGGTGATGACTGCAGTGAGAACATTGATGACTGTGCGGTTGCTATTTGCATGAATGGGGCCACCTGCCATGACCGTGTGGCATCTTTTGTTTGCGAGTGCCCTGTTGGCAAAGCTGGTAAGGCTTGAACTCTGGAATTTAATTTTATTTTTGACTCAGTAATATTTCTAACCTTGGGGTATGACTGAAAGAAGCTGTCAAGTTCTAATTGTCCTCAAGGGGAGGGATGGTAGATAAGCTTAAATATACTTTTGAGTCTCCTGAGCCTTAGGCTTGGTTTACTTGACATAATTGAATGTAAAACCCAAGAGCCATCGATAATGAATTGTTGAACCAGAGCTGGAGAGCAGGCAAAACTAATTGATCTGCATTTTTAATCCACTGCATCAAGTATTATTGTTCCACTCTCTCCTCTTAAGTGAAACTTCTGTTTCTCATTTTTAAATTCTGAACACTAATTGCACCAAGGGTCAGTGCTCAGACATTTCTGGTTCTGAATATTGTCTGGGTCTGCAAATTCCCAAAAGATAACAGACAGGTTTTTGAAGTTTATAACAATCATTGGCTTTAAGAAGGATGTAAAGGTTGTTATTGTTCAGTTTGATAGCCTTAATTACCATCTTATGTGTTTCAGTCAGTATCAGATGCTTTTAACTTTTAAAATTTGGAGGTATCCTTTCTAGTTTTCAATTCCATGATGCTCCTACATCATAAAGAAAAGTCCCTTATATCCAAATGTAAGCTTTATGTAACATTAATGAGCAGAAGTTGATTTGACGTTCAAATGATGCTTTGTGAACACTTCTGTATGGTGCCTACTTTACCTCCCACCACCACCATCCTCCCTCACAATTTCAGATCTTGACTGATCTCACTGCAGTAGAATTTCTAACCTTGCCTTCTGATTTAAAGTCCTTGAATATGTCATAGTCTCCATGTTGTGTGTTCTCCTCCTTGTTTATGATCAGGTTGCACTAATCTCAAAACCCAAACTTACTGCAGAAAGGGTAGATTGATGGAGGCCAGGATAAGTTTGTAATAGCTATTTTGATCTCCGAAGTTGACAGCAGTGCTACTGGATGGATGAACTGTTGTCAGTGGAGTTGACTCCACAGGTATAGATTCTGCACAGATGTTGACCTGTCTGCAACAGATGTTTGTTAGAAAATTCTATTTAGTCAGTGGGTAGAGGGACAAAACTTCAGGCTGTCAGTAATAATGTTAGGAATACTCAACACTCTTCACCCTGTCATCAGGATAACTGCAATAGGATTGCTTCTATCCACAAATGAGGCACAAAGCTCTGCTGAATACAGATGACTCAATAGGGACCCATCACCCCAATTGCTACACCCATTATTCCCATTGACAATAATGAGTAATGAACTGGCTCTGCAGCTCTTGGCTGATGAAATTGTTTCCATCATGTTCTTGCACCCCAGACCGGTGACTTTGGAAGTTTCTGCCCGATTTTTTTTTTTTTTTTGTTCATTTCAAAAGAATGATGCTGTATTACAAACTGCAACATCCAGCAGTTATTAAATATCTATATTGTGCTTCAAATCCCAATAATTAACTTCACGCAGATTTGAAGCTGTGAAGTGCTTCCTGGGAAAGAAAACTGATGTTTAAGAAGATACTCATTCGATGAGGATATACTCTGAATTCAAGCAAACCTTACGCTACAATTGAAGGGATTCTCATCTCATGGGAGAAGCATATGACTAACTATCGGCAAAGCTTTTTCAGACCAACAGCAAACTGAGGAAATGTTTGGTGTTATCTGTAATGATTGATATTGCCACTATTAAGGTTTAGGAGAGTAGCTGACAGTGCAGATAATTTGCTCTTGACCATTCCCACCTTGTTGAAGGCAGCTAGTTATAGACAATAAAGGCTGGTCCAAACAGAGACGCCCACATTCCGTGACAGAATAAAAAGTGCTGCTGAACAGCCAACGGCAAAATCTTTGCTGCTTGCAAGCCAGCATTACTCAATTGTTCTGCATATGTTTGGCTATCAAAGACAGATCCTAGCCAATAACCTTTCCCAGCTGAACAGGAAACCTCCCATGTTGGTTTTATTTGAAAAGCAATTCTACTCCCGGACATCCCAGATGTCCTCTTTTCTCAAGGACCGCAACTTCGCCTCCACAATGGTCGAAAATGCCCTCGACCGTGTCTCCTGCATTTCCCGCAACTCATCCCTCACACCCCCTACCCGCAATAACAACCAAAACAGAATCCCCCTCGTCCTCACATACCACCCCACCAACCTCCAAATCCAACGCATCATCCTCCGACATTTCCGCCATCTGCAATCTGGCCCCACTACCAAAGACATCTTTCCCTCCCCACTCTTATCTGCTTTCCGGAGGGACCACTCTCTCCGTGACTCCCTCGTCCACTCCACACTCCCCTCCAGCCCCACCACCCCCGGCACTTTTCCCTGCAATCGAAGCAAGTGCTACACCTCCCCCCTCACCCCCATCCCAGGCCCCAGGAAGACCTTCCACATCACACAGATGTTCACCTGCACATCTGCTAATGTGGTATACTGCATCCGCTGTTCCCGTTGTGGCCTCCTGTACATCGGGGAAACCAAGCGGAGGCTTGGGGACCGCTTTGCGGAACACCTACGCTTAGTTCGCAACAAACAACTACACCTCCCAGTCGCGAACCATTTCAACTCCCCCTCCCACTCCTTGGACGATATGTCCATCCTGGGCCTCCTGCATTGCCACAATGACGCCACCCGAAAGCTGCAGGAACAGCATCTCATATTTCGCTTGGGAACCCTGCAGCCCAAGGGTATCAATGTGGACTTCACAAGCTTCAAAATCTCCCCTCCCCCAACCGCATCCCAAAACCAGCCTAGCTAGTCCCTGCCTCCCTAACCATTCCTCCCACCTCAAGCCCCACCCCCATCTCCTACCCAATAAACTCATCCCGCCTCCTTGACCTGTCCGTCCTCCCTGGACCGACCTATCCCCTCCCTAACTCCCCACCTACATTCGCCTTCACTGGCTCCAACCCTGCCTCTGTGACCTGCCTGTCTCCTCTCCACCTATCTTCTCCTTTATCCATCATCTATCCGCCTCCCCCTCTCTCCCTATTTATTTCAGAATCCCCTTCCCCTCCCCCATTTCTGAAGAAGGGTCTCGACCTGAAACGTCAGCTTTCCTGCTCCTCTGATGCTGCTTGGCCTGCTGTGTTCATCCAGCTCTGCACCTTGTTATCTCTACTCTGTACCTACACTGATTGTTATCAGTGCTGTATTAAATATTGACTTGCCCCGTGCATTTTTTTTTAATGTTCATCTGCCGTCGAAAAGTATTGCTGTTAATTTGAACAGCGCTTACTTGCTTCCCATGGTTTTTCTGTTCAATATCAGCAGTGAGAGTCAGTGACCTCATTGGGGTAACTGTCTGGGAAGAGTTAGATGGAACACGTGAAGGGGTTTGACCAAACATCTGCAGCATCCTCTCATTTCCACTGTCTGATTAAACTCCCACGGTTGCATTTAACTCCTTCACGTTGTTCCGCTTGATGTGACCAACTCTGACTGTTTATGCTTTGATTGAGCCACCAAGCAAAAGGCTACAAAAGGGAATCACAAATGCATTGGGATGGCAAGACTCATGCTTTCAGCCACAAATGGAAGCCAGTTCCTATTCTTTGAGTAGGGCTCTCTTCCATAACTAGATCAATTGTTGATTCTAAATCTGAGTTTTCTTTGTGTTCTTAATTCAAATCATTAAAGATTTTGAAATAACTCCATAGAGGCCAGTATCCTGTCACCAAGTCACCTTTTGTTTATACGTAGAGGGTCCTTGAGGCAGAGCCAGCTCTCAGAGTGAACAGAACCTCTGACACTCCTGTTTATATCTGTCAGCCGGGCTCCCTGATTGGGGCTGTTAATCTGGTCCAATCAGGGAACTCATATCTTATGAGATCCACTTGGCTGACCTCATTACAATCACTATAGATATGTGGTTATAGGTCACAGCTCAATCCTGATCTAATTTGAATGGCAGAACAGTACTGAGCACAAGAAACCTGAAGGCTATCTGTCAGTGACGGGATGAACATAAGAACTAGGAGCAGGAGTAGGCCGTCCGACCCTTCGAGCCTGCTCCGCCATTCAATAAGATCATGGCTGATCTTTTCGTGGACTCAGATCCACTTACCCGCGTTCTCACCGTATCCCTTAATTCCTTTATTGTTCAAAAAAAATCTACCTTATCTTTAAAAACGTTTACTGAAGTAGCGTCAACTACTTCACTGGGCAAGGAATTCCATAGATTAACAACCCTCTGGGTGAAGAAATTCCTTCTCAGTTCAGTCCTAAATCTGCTCCCTCTAATCTTGAGGCCATGCCCCCTTGTCCTAGCTTCACCTGCCAGTGGAAACATCCTCCCTACTTCTATCTTATCTATTCCCTTCATAATTTTATATGTTTCTATAAGATCCCCCCTCAATCTTCTGAATTCCAATGAATATAATCCCAATCTACTCAGTCTCTCCTCATAAGCCAACCCCCTCAACTCCGGAATCAACCAAGTGAACCTCCTTTGCACCCCCTCCAGTGCCAGTACATCCTTTCTCAAGTAAGGAGACCAAAACTGCGCACAGTACTCCAGGTGTGGCCTCACCAGCACCTTGTACAGCTGCAACATAACCCAGAAAGTCTAGAATGGACAATAGGCCAGAATTGGAGCAAAGCACAAAACTTCAAGCGTTGTAAATTGTCTGAATGCTTGGCCAACATCCAGTATCAGATGAACAGAGATTCCCTCCAGTCAAACACTAAATAAAGCCGTTGTCTTTAAACCCTGCCACAAACTGTTCCTTAGCCCCAGACTCCATTCCTCTCCCTGGCAACTGTCTTTGACAAAACAAGACTTTTTGCAACTTTGTCAGATTTGAGTCCAATACCAGCTTTCAAACACATGTATGCTCTGTTTCTGAACCCAACTACTTATACCTTTAGAACACCACGTGGATTTGTTAACTCTCTAGGCTTGACTATTTCACTACACCCCTGACTGGCCTCCTGTTTTCCAAATTACTTCCATCTATTTCGAAGCTTTGCCAGTATCTTAACATGTATAGAGTCCAAACCACCCATCATCCCTGTGTTGAGTGACCTTCATTCCCAGAGAAACCAACTCTTTGAATTTCAAACATTGTCTTTGTTTGTAAATCCTTACATGTCCTGTTCCTGCTCAACCTATGTCCACTCTTACAGCCCCATCACCCTTAGATATCTGCACTCCTTTAATTCTATCATCTTATTCACTCCAATTTTAATCATTCTACTAGTGGCCACTGTGCCTGGTCCCTAAGTTCAAGAGTTCCCTCCCTAAATTTCTCCTTTCTACCTCTGTCCTGCTTGAAGACATTTCTCAAAACCTACTTGTTTGTTCAAGCTTTTGGCTATTTCCTATCTCCTCATGCAGCTTGATGAACTTGTTTGCTAAAATTCATTTGAAAGGTCTTGGATAGCTTTACTATGTTAAAGAAACTACATTAATTTTGAATCTAGAGGAGATTACAGAAATGGGCAGGGGAGTGGTATGAGGCAGTGGAAGGATTTGAACACTTAATATGAGGGAGCTTTAAAAATTGTCCTGCGAGGACCCAAAATCAGTGCAAGTCAGAAAGCACCGGTGATGGGTGAGTGGGTCATGGTGCAGCCCTTGATTAGAGCAACAGAGTTTTTTTGTGAATTGAAATTTACAGAGGGTACAAGATGAGGGACTACAGCTGGACGAGCACCGCAGTAGTCAAATCTTGAGGTAACAAAATGCATGAGACAGAAACAAATAGGAAAAGATAAGGAGGAGAAGGACCACTTTGCATACGTAGAAGTAGGTAGTCTTGACAACAGAGTGCATACGGGATCAGAAGTTCAGCTCGGGCTGAAAAAAAATGCCAAGTTTGCAAACAACCCGGTTGAGTCATAGACCAGTGCCACAACCAGCAGTGAAGAAATGGCAATAAGGGAATAAAAAAGGTAAATAATAAGAGAAAAACATTTCAGGAGCAGAATGTGAATTGTTTAATTGAAATAACTAGAGCTGACAAAACTCCTTTATGGGCTCAAGGGATCAGGATAATATGTTAATAACTAGTAATTTTAATTCTGTGTATTCTGTTCCTTTTCCTCCTTTGAGGAAGTGGTAATTCTTTTTAACCTGTGAATAATAAATTTTTTTTGTTTTTAGGTATCTTCTGTCAGGTGGATGATGCATGTGTTAGTAACCCATGTCATGAAGGAGCCACATGTGAAACCAATCCTCTAAAGAGCAGCTTCTTTTGTAGTTGTCCCCTTGGATACAGGGGGGCCATCTGTGATGAGGATATCAATGAATGTGCACTGGGTAAGTGTCTGGACAATGGATAGATCTTCATCTTGTCATGTTGCTGATTATATTTTACAGATGAACAGTTGAGAGTTATTACTTCTGCAAATCAATTTTTGGTTCAAGCTTGGCATTTATTATTCACCCCAGTGAGTCTGAGAAGGAACTGTATGATGTTTCCACAGACCAGGTACTCTTGTCCCTCCCATGTCTACAAGAGCCAAGTTGAGCTCTCTTAAAACGCCTTTCACGTTGCTTCAATGTTGTTGGTTTTCTCCTGTTGACCTGTGGTCCTAGGCCAATTGTACTGACATAGAACACAAAACATGGATGTTTGAATCTGATATTACTACTCTTTCCTGTGAAGTAAAATAATCCTTGACTTCACCGTCCTTGAAGCCATTACCTCATTCCAACCTTCCCATTCCTCTCAAATCCTTGAATGTTGTCACTGCTTCCTAAATTTGTGCCAGGGAATTCCAAGTTTGAACCCCTTCAATAAGGCTTCTACCTCTGCTGCAATCCTTCATTGGCTCCTCATGGTTGCAAATTATATCCTATGTGATTGTAGTAATGGCAAAGTATCCTTTCTTGCCCTTATCCACCTGTATGCATGTTGACCACACCATCCTTCTTTAACACCTATCTGCTGTTGTCCAGCCGGATGAGAAGGTACATGGCTGGTTCCATCTGTCCAGTCATAGCTAGAAAGTCACTTCAGATGGCTTCTCCTCTTGTTTGCTCACCGTTTTCTCAAACATCCGTAAAGAACTATCCTTCTCTTCTTTCTCCTCCAGACGCTGACCTCTGGAGCGTAATTTGAAAACACTCGTCACTCTTCACATGCCTTCTGAAGCATCCAGCTCCACCTCACCAATGCCTGTCTCCACCTGTCCATTGCTTCCAAATTCTCAGACTGTTTATCTGGCAACCAGTATTGGGCGAGCAGAAAGTTTCTTTGGCTAAATGTTTGGAAGACTGAAGCCATTATCTTTGATTCCTGACACACACTCTTTCAACCAGCCTCTAATTCAATCCGTTCTCCCTGGTACCTGTCTAAGACTGAACCAGAGTCTTCACAGTCTTGGTGTCATGTTTGACGTGAGCTTCTGACCACACATCTCCATCATCATCAAAGCTGCCGGTTGCCACCTTCATAACATTGCCCTGTTTCTGATGCTGTCCTAGCTCATCAGCTGGAGTCCTCATTCGTGCCATTTTTGTCTCAAGACTTGATTACTCCAGTGCACTCCTGGTTGGCTTTTTGTATTCCAACCCCTAAATTGAGGTAATCCAAATCCCTCTGCCTGTGCTCCAAGCCACACGAAGCCCCATTCACCCAATGAGTCTCTGCTCAATAATCAGTATTGGCTCCCAGGTTAAACCAATTCTTGTCCTTGTTTTCAGATAACTCTGTAGCCTCAACCCTGCTAATCTCGATAATCCTCACTCCCGTGCCCCAGTTCTGCAGACTTCTGGATGTTTATGTTCCTCCAGTGTTTGCTTCCAGAGTAAAATTCCCTGATTTGAGTCACTCCACCATTGGTGGCCATGTCTTTACCTACCAGGACTCCCTTTCTAGAATTCCCCTCATTTTTGGAACCCTTCTTCCTCTCTCCTTCTCTTTATCTCCTTGAGAACCTATCTTCTGACCATCGTCCCTCATATCTCCTTGTAAGTCAATGTCACCTGTCGAAGAAACACTTTGGGTCATTTTGTGACATTAAGAGGCACTAAATAAGTACAGATTTTAGTTGACGGGTTTGATGGTGTGTACAGCAATGAGATTAGAGTTTTGAAGGAGGATGAAAACTTGAAAGAGAGGGAGTGCGTTTTTCATAAGCAGTAAATGGTAATTGTGTGTGAAGATAACATCATTGATATTCCAGAAACTAGGGTTCACTTGAATGTCTCTGACCTTCATACATTTACACCGTAGGAGGCAATCCCTGTGAACATGGAGGGAAATGTGTCAACACCAAGGGCTCTTTCCGCTGTGAGTGCGTCGTGGGTTACACAGGACCACGCTGTGAGATGGACATCAATGAATGTCTTTCTATGCCATGCCAGAATGATGCCACCTGCTTGGACCAGATTGGTGAATTCAAGTGCATCTGTATGCCAGGTGGGAACTAACATGGTGGATGCACAGAAGTCCTGCTGCATATCTGACCTATTGGACACATGTTTTCAAAATAAAATGATGTTTGAGGCATTTACTAATCACAGAAGTCAGATTCAGAATTAGTCTGCAACAGGCAGGGACAGGAGGAAATTCTCCAGGTTTAACTAAACAAAAAAGGCCAATGGGAAAAAACAGTAAAAGTAGCACAAGTTAATTTTTAAATTATTTTTAACTTTGGTAAATGTCGAATCAAAAAGGCAAAAGGAATAGATAGCAATGCAGCACATGTTTAGCAATTCCTAATGCAACATTTTAGGTCAAACTTCAGGCAGTGACATATATCCAACTTTCTTTGAGAGATTTATAAAATGAAAGAATGGCATGTTGAATAAGTTACGCAAGTACTTGAACATAAATTCCAACTGTAGGTGGAGCCACCTACAGCTGTATCATGTTGTATTATGTAGCCAACCCTGTTTGGAAATAATCATAAAGAGCCTGTATGACTGACCCACATTTTGAAATTGACAAGTCATTGCATAACCAGGCATTATCCAGCCTTCTTTATGTTTAGGGCTCGTGCTGTGGTCAAACATATGCTGTTGACAAACATATGACAGTACCAGAGTTTGGCCTGTTCTCTCAGCTTATTCAAATTTGCTTGTGGAGACCTTTATACCCCCTCTCCTCCAAATTCTCACATCATCTGCAAAGCTATGGACCCCATCCCGTCCGTTTTGTGAAAATACTACTGCAGCAGCATCCTTAATACTGACGCCTCTGGAATAGTGTTTGTAACCAGCCTCTGATTCTCACTATTTGCACCAAATAGTGCCACAATAATACTTTTATCTGCAGTCCCTCATTGCCAAGTATTTGATTCCTACTTTTCTTCAATGTAGGACAGTGGGATGTTTTTAGCTCAATCCGTCAAGAGGGCATCTGGGGTTTTGGCTCAATCCCTCATCTAGTTTTCACTCAATAATGCATGAGCATTTAGCCGAGATTCAATGCTGAGGTATATTGAGTGGGAACTGAAAATGCAACCTTGTGGCTCAGAGGCAAGAGTCATCTAAACTGACATCTAAGAGTAGAGAATAATGTGGAGGATTGATGGAAAGAAATAACATTGTCGAGCCTCCTCCTCATTCCATTAATGCTTTCGAATTTCTTGTTGAGCACTGCTGGTCGCTTCCATGTTTGTTGAGGAGCATACCAATTTTATTAGCTGTGTTTTTAAAGAGCTTTTCACTTTTCATTGCTAATGTTAGGTTTTGCGGGGACACACTGTGAATTGAACATCGATGAGTGTGAAAGCCAGCCTTGCCTAAACAACGGTGTGTGTAAGGATGACGTGAACAGATTCGCTTGCAAATGCCCACCTGGTGAGTAGAGTTTTACAGATAGAAAGAAATTTTTTTTTTTGTTTTGTATATCGTTGTTCATGGCTCATCTCAGGTACTCATTGACACGTCTGCTATGAATGAGACCCTGAATCTCATCTGCCCCTCTGGTTTCTGCACATTTCTTCAGGCTCCTCACCTTCCCATGGGAAATTGGTCTTTAGTCACTCTTGCACCTTGCTACCATATTTGGTTAATGCATTTCAGCCGTTATAAGCAGTAGACATTAAAGCAAATTTAATGGGATGGCATGTTGGCTCAGTGGTTAGCACTGCTGCCTCACAGCAACAGGGACCCGGTTCGACTCCATCCTTGGCTGTCTGTGTGGAGTTTGCACATTCTCCCCGTGTCTGTGTGGATTTTCTCCGGGTGCTCCGGTTTCTTGCCACAGTCCAAAGGTGTGCAGGTTAGGTGGATTGACCATGCTAAATTGCCTACAGTGTTGTGCAGGCTAGGTAGATTAGCCATGGAAAACGCAGGGTTACAGGTATAGGGTAGAGCGTGTGGGTCTGGGTGGAATGCTCTTCAGAGGGTCAGCGTGGACTTGTTGGGCTAAATGGCCTGCTTGCCCACTGTAAGGATTCTATGATTCTAAATTGTGGAACTACCTTGTGGTTCTAAATTGTGCGCACCAGGTGAGGTACAGGACCTAGTTAGGCTCCGAAAAAGTAACCGATGCCCTGAGTGCATGTACTCTTGCACTTCATGTGCACATGTGACAACAAATAGTCTCTGCAGTGGTGAACTGAGATGGAGCTGGGCATGCTTTCAGTTTTTACTTGGAACTTGATGCACTCAATGAAGGTGTGGAGCATTAGGTGCCATTAGGAGATGGAAGAGATGATGCTCTAGCACATGTTGGGAGTGAAAAATCTACTTGTTATTCATGAAGATGTGATCTTTTAGCTAGGTTATCCCAGAATTGGCATGTTGGTGTTTGAATTGCTTGCTTTTCACCAGCCTAAATTCCTTGTGTTTTCATAAGAAATTATAATCCACATATGGTTCTGAAGCTAGTGTAAAAGAAAAAGGCGCTTATGAGATCCTTGTAAACGAATACACTGTGTTGTGACCACCATGACGGTGCTGTTCTTTAAACAGCATTTTGCTTCACATAACCATGTCATTTCTCTGACAGTAACTAATAATAAATTATTCAGACAAGGGATTTTGTCAGTCATCTCACAATAGGCCTCACTGTCCTTTCATAACTGGCCATGTTGTCTGACACTGCGGTATATTTTTAATGAAAGCAGCTCGTAGCCCTCGTAGTTGCTGACTGCTTCTGACAAGACCTATTCTGCTCAGTTAATCCATCAGTGCTACTTGAGAAGAGGGCCAGCAGAGGAGAGGAGCCCTGTCTGCTCAGAATACCAATGGGAATACAGCCTCGTTGCAGAGCGTGAAGGAATCTGCAGAGGCTGTTTCAAATGCACACAATCAGAGCACTGTTCCACACCGTTGGACAGGCCACACTTGTTCGATTTTTCTCTGTTTTCTTTCACAATTAAACCAGCTCCCCCCCACCCCGCCCGCCACCCACCCACCCATCTCAAACATCGTGTCTTCGTTTCTGAACTTCGCGAGAGGAGGCAAAGTTCTGCAAACACTAAGCTGCTCACTTTGTAACTAACGGAACTTATGACCTTTACAGATTCTGTGGTATAATAGCACTTCATTGATGCAGGGAGAGAGGGGGAGAAACTGTAAGAATTAATTGCTGAGTCAGAAACTTTCTTGCAGTAATGCAAATTGTGAAAAATTCTAGATTGGGGGAGGGGAAAATATCTGCACATCCTCTGAAAAGGATCTTTTAAAAAAAAAAGTCGAATAACTTTTCCTGAAACCTTTAAGGAGTTTTCTTTTTCTTCTTGTAAACCTTTTCAGGGATCTCCATTAGTCCTATTTTTTGCAATTGGAACCTAGTATGCTATGTAGACACTGTTTTGCAAATCCGAGAATGTGCATTTCCTTCCTGAGGATGCTGTCCGAATGGAAGTAGTCACTTTGTATGCTGTTGTTTTATTGGACAGTCCAGCAAATGACAGGGTCTGGTTCTGTATCTTTTTGTTTTCTTTGTATTTCTCCCTTTGTAATAGCTACTGGGAATATTCATGTAGCTGAAGACTTCAGAGATCAAATTGAACTGTTACTATGAAGTATGAAGCATAGCAGTGATGTGCTGTGCCTCCTAACGGATTGCCTACACTCTGTTTCAAAGGATCTTTGGGAATTATGGCCACTTGTCTGAGGTATTGGTGAAGGAATGACCACTAGCTGTGGGGAGAAGGACATCCAGCAGTTAACACCATCATGAGGTGTGGAGAGATTTGTTAAGACCAAGAAGTAAAAAGGGGATATACCTTAGTCACGCACCATGATTTCTTGCTAACTTGTTTAACAAAGTGACGTAATGATAATTCATACTTTCAGTCATAATTCTTTTCTTATGTGTAAGTATCCATATTCAGGTGTATATCTGTTTTATATATAATATGCTTACAAACATAATGTGTAATGGAAATTTATATAGAATGATTAGAATGTTACACATTACATATTTTAACTTAGGACCCCTTTGAGAGTCATACAGCACAAAAACAGAGCCATCGGTCCAACTAGTCCATGCTGACCAGATATCCTAAACTAATCTAGTCTCATTTGCCAGCATTTGGCCCATATCTCTCCTAAACCCTTCCTATTCATATACCCATCCAGATGCCTTTTAAATGATTTAATTGTACCAGCCTCCTCCACTTCCTCTGGCAGCTCATTCCATACACATACCACTCTCTGTGTGAAAAAGTTGCCCCTTAGATCCCTTTTTAAATCTTTCCCCTCTCGCCTTAAATCTGTGCCCTCTAGTTTTTGACTCCCCTGCCCTGGGAAAAAGACCTTGGCTATTCACCGAATCCATGCCCCTCATTATTTAATAGACCTCTATAAAGTCACCACTCAGCCTCCGATGCTCCAGGGAAGATAGGCCCAGCCTATTCAGCCTCTCCCTATAGCTCAAAACCTTCCAACTCTGGCAACATCCTTGTAAATCTTTTCTGAACCCTTTCAATTTTCGCAACATCTTTCCAATAGCAGAGATATCAGGATTGAATGCAATACTCCAAAAATGGCCTAACCAATATCCTGTATAGCCACAACATGCCATCCTAACTCCTATATGTTGGAAAATGAGTTGGGGAGGTGGCTTTTCAAGTGTCCTGCTCTCTAAGGTATACTTAGCTGATAGGAATTTTAAGAGCAGGCTTTTACTGGTGGTTCCATTTGCAGCAGGACTAATATTTCCAGATTGACGTAAAAATATGTTTCACCTAATTACCCCCCTGTGTCACCCAATTACCCCCCTGTTTCACCCAAAAGGGAAGCACCGGTGCCCCAAAACCTTTGTGAGCAAGGTTAGTCCATCTTATCCTCAACAGGGCTGCACATGGGTGCTCCTCTGAATGGAATCACTTGTTGAGTTATTTGACCAGTTTGGTGAACTTTTACTGGTGGCCTTGACCTTAGCTGATGGTAGAAGGTGACATTGAAGCCTACTTGCCTTTTATCAGTGGAATATTTGCCGATTTTTCACGCCTGTACAGTTGTAGTTCTAAATAAACTCATCTTTTTAGGGTTGATTGCTTCATTGCTGGCACTGGTTAAAATCACAATGAGCTGTCTCTGAAGCATGTTTTGCAAATTATCTGGGTCAGATAAATATCCTGGAATTTTCAGGGAAAGCAGTGAACAGAACTCAAGTATCCAGAATAATTTTAGAAACTTTAAAATTGGGAGTGAAGCTTGTGATTAAGTATCGAGTAAATGTAATTGAACTGTTGAGTGGCAGTGAGATGTATCCACAGATAGTAACACTGTTAACCAGACATATCCAATTGAATTTTTCTTTGTTTTGCATTGACGTTCAGCTGACAAGAGGTTGGAAGAAATTGGAAGCATGGATTTAAAAATAACAAGCCATGTACAATTAAGCTACTTGAACTTGAGCTTATAGCTAAACTAATAGGTTCGGACTATCTAATGACCATAGCAGTTTTTGGGTTTTTATGATGTTTCACACATAAGGTATTTAAAGTTAATGGGAGCAAATGTCTAGGATGTTCAATATTTTCTGTTCCAAGGCCATCAGATTGCTATTTTATAATAGGCAAAGCCAAATGGTTTTGTCAAAGGGAAATAATTACTTTATTGGAACTTCTTTGAAGTAGTAACTTATGTTGTAGATAACAGGGGAACCACTGGATGTATTGTATTTAGATTCCAGAAGGCATTTGATTGGGTACCACATCAAAGATTATTGAAAATAAAATATATTGGCAGGATTAGAATATTGGCTGGCTACCAAGAAGCAGAGA